AAAAAAAAAAGAAAGAAAGAAACAAAACATATTTTACAACCTAGCTACTAACTCTCACCGGGCCATCATTTCCTTAATGTGAGCTAACACATGTCTCACATACCTGTCACAATAAATCATTCTTCAAAACTACTGGCGTACAGGGAGTGTTGCTAGGGCTTGAACTTGAACTTGAACTTCTCCAAAATATGTGTTCTAAATTCTAACCCCCGTGGCCTGTGGTTATGATCTCATCTAGAAATGGGTTGTATTTAGTATAATGACCCAGGGTCGGTACTGGGTGTGTTTTAAGTCCTTCTCTTTTGCAAGGTAAGACAGATTAAACAAGCATGTGATAGTGGGGAGAGATGCCGAACCACAGTAAGTCTGCCAGGAGCAAAAGCTCAGAGGGGAAAGGAACCTTCTTCCAGAGCTAACAGGAAGGAAGGAAGTCATCCCCTAAGGCCAGAACCCTGAATTCACACTTCTAACCACCGAACCTGCGAGAACATCAATTTGCTTGTTATGTTTTGGTGATAGTTAAGGTGACCAGATTTTAACATTGGTAAAGCGGAACACCATTGATAAAACTCATATCCTGGTGAAATAACCACATCGCAGCCGAAAACCGTATACCCTAGCTTGTCGTGCATTCTTTCCAAAAATCGGGACTTTTTAAAAACTCCACGGGGCGTGGGAAAAATAAGCGGGACGTCTGATCATCTTAGTGATAGCACAACTGGCTAGCTAAGATTTTGGTGTTGAGAATTAAGGGTGTTACTCTAACAAACACCTACAATGTGGAAGTGGTTTGGGGGTTGGGTAATGGGTTAAAGGGGTAAACACTTCAGGTGCCTGGTAATAAAATCACAGTCTCTGACCTTGATGGACTGTTGGCAGAATTATGGATCAGAGGAAGGCACAAAGGGAAGTAAAGAGAACTATTAAAAAATAAAAGGTCTCTACTGTCTTCGAGGATACAAATGGCACCAGCAACAAAATACAGGGAAATATGTAGGCATTAAATGTGCATCTGGTGAGGCTTTAAAAGAAAATGATAAGCATGTGATTGGGTACTGCAGAAAGGGTGGTGCTTTTTAAGCAGTAGCAACAAACCAGAAATTTTGCTGAAAAGTTTGTTATAAAGGTGGGACTTGTAAGTTATGAACTTGGACACTAGGTTGAGATTTCTTCTAAGCAATCTTAGAAGATTCTTGAGGTTCCTCCTGAACTGTTTAAACTAAGCCCAAAAGAGATAGACTTAAAAAGGAAATGCAAAATGAGAAAACCGTACGATCAGAAAAATTACAAAGTACAAACTCGGGACACACCCTAGAATGTTCATGAAGTTGTGGACACACAATCCTTTGTTTAAAAGATTGTGTCTGTGGCTGACGGATGAAATCAACTACCGAAGCAGAAAACCCATGAACGGAGACTAAAGGGTCCGAGATAGAAAAAAAGGAAGGAAAGGATGCTGTCTGCCACAGGGAACTGCACAGGCAGGGAACAGGTTAAAGCGCTAGCTACATCTTGTTGTTCAGGCAAAGAAAATGGCCATCCTATAGCAGCTCAGAAATCAGCAACACTGATGGAAAGATCAGGAAAAGTAAGGCTTTCTCAGTTTTGGCGGGGCAGGACTGTGCTCTCCAGAATCCAAATATATGGGGCCACAGCCTCTTCGGTTTCAATTGGATTCTTAAGTGTGGGGCAGTTACTCACGGATGGCTGAGTAGTGGACCACTGCCCAAACTGAAGGGGTGGGATTTCTATGTCCAAGGAGCAGAATAATGGAGTCTGCCAGGGCTGAAGGGCCGGGGTTACCATTCAGACAGAGTTGGAAAATGGGGCCACTCTAAGTGTAGGGAGCAGAGTTGCCATTCTAGTGGGCCTACTAAGTACCTTTTACTCTTATTTCCCTCCAATTTCTGCCAGGTGTGATGGAAATGTCCTTCTTTGTTCCTAGGCTACCATTTTTATTTTGGATATAGAAAACCTACATTCCAGATTACACAGATTCTCCAATAAAGAGGAATTTTGTGCCAGGATGAAATATGCTGAATGTCTCACCCATATTTGATGTAGCTGATTCAAAAGGTTAGATTTTAGACTTGGAGTTGACTGAAAGACGTTGGGGTGGGGAGGGTAAGGCTCTGGTTGTGTTCTGCATCAAGGAAGGGCATGAATGAGATAAAAGGAGTAGAGAATGTGCTCTTTACGTTGATCTCTTTGGGACAGAAGTGATTAAGACAATAAAAAAGATGGGAGAAGAGAGATGGCAAGTCACATAAAGACTTCCCAGGAGCAGAAACTGAGAAGAGATGAGAAGTTTCCGCCATAGTCAACAGAGAGAGAGAAAGCCTTGCCCCGGAGTCAATGCTCTGAACTCTGACTTCTAGAGGAAACCAAGTTCTTTTCGGCTTGAACAAAGAGGTATTTCTGTTATAGCAGCACTCGATGACCAACACAAATATTAACCTTAAAAATATACTACAATTTTAAAATACACTAAGGAAATAAAATCAAGAATATTAAGCATGACTCCACAGCATATCGCAATTACCTTGGTAGGAAAATAACGCTTGGTCTTAAATTGCTTGAGGAATGACGACAGAAAAAACGTTGTGAAAAATAGGATGACACACCAAAAGAGCACGTCTGGAATATAAGGTCCATGAAGACTACACGCTGATCCGACAAATGCACCATGGAAGGTTTTACATTGCTGAGGGAGAAAAAACAAACAAGTAACAATAAAGAGAGGATGGAGGCAATTCTCAAATAGTTTAATAAATTACCAAGGAAGTTCACTGACTCTTAAGATGCTACGGACTGATAATATGTCTCACTCAGAAGAAAAATAAAACCACTGTCAAGCCAACTATCAAACACACCAACAATCAGAAGACACAACGTCCAGAAATATTATCATTTCAAAAAACTACATCTTAAATCATTCAAGTACAGAGTACTGCCACATTAATTTATCCATTTCTTTCTCGCAGCACCATATAGCATTTAGTGAAACAATCGTAGTGAGCATACTGTTTCCTGCTGCTGGTGCAGTCTCCCTTCTGAACAAGGGGTTTGAGACAAAGAGGAGCAGACAGCAATGCCCCTCTTCTTTTTACCAGGCTGACTGAGAATTCAAATCAGCAATGCAAACGAAGTACTAAGGGGGGAAAATGAACATAAACATGTGAGCGTCTACTCTTATATACTGATAACACCTGTGTTCTGACTTTACTCAAAGCTTGGGATTCAAGAATGGGATCATAGCCGCATTGGGCTAAGAAAATATTTCCATTAATGAATCCAGCAACATAATACAGTCTGTGATTTACCAGCTTACTGCCACCAAGCTCCTGTGGTCTCTGCCCCTATGGGTCTCTTTAGGGCAGTAGAAAGCATCATCTTTCCCTGTGGAGCACCTGGTGGTTTCAAACTGATGACCTTGTGGTTAGCAGCCCAATGTTTTAACAACTACACTACCAGACGTATACTGACTTGGATTTACTTTTGAATGAAAAATTACTTTAAAAAAAGCAAACAAACCCCAGAAAGCAACAAAACCACATGCCACCAAAATCTATATTTTTCTGACGAGTGAAGTTTATTTTAACAAAATAATAACTAAAAGTTTATGAAAGCTGAAGGTTCCTTTATTTTCACTTTCCATGTGCTGAGATCCTTAAATCTCTAAACTCAGAAAATGGGTCATCGATAGAAAAGCCACCCCATGCCCATAAGGGACAAAAACCAGCCATCTGGCAATGGACAGGTTACCTATGTGCACTGCAGCCAGCAGTCACATGAGGTGTTGGGGCACGTTCATGTGGATAGTGTGAGAAATGTTTAATCAATTTCAGTCATAATGAATTCATGTTAATGAATATACCCATGTTACTAATGACTGCTCTACTGGCCAGTGCAGCCTTTAAATTAGCAGTACAATGAAATCTCAGACCACATCCCACATACTGAACAGTGCAGGGGCCCTGTCCTCTGGAGTGAGAAAGGAGTGACCTCCAGTTGCTTACAGTAATACTATACTCTGAAATCACAGTCAGATCCATGGACCAAGAACAAAATGTCGATCTAATCAGAAAAGGCTAGAGGAAAAAAGAACTGGGTTGATAATGATTTGCAAGATCCTTAATTTCAGTATACTCACAGATACAGTGAGATTGCCCCAGGAAATGTTCTCCGCTGTTAGATGCCTTTCTTTCCACAGCTCTAGTGTCTCATTGCTAGGGTTAGGAGGCTCAATACACACACATCTGAGAAATCAGAACAGGACAGGTGTTTAAGGTTCCTCACGCATACGTTTCATTAAATCAATTATACAAAAATAGCAGCGTTTAACCACTTAGCTTTTCTCCATTGCAATGTACAAAGGCTATGAAAAGAGACAAGAACAGAATGCTTGGGCTAACAACAAACCTGTTGTCATCTGAGTCAATTCTAGCTCACAGCCACCCTGTAGGACAGACAAGAACTGCCTCATTGAGTTGTCAAGCAAGCAGGATGCCATATCACTGCAAGCCCCTCAGCTAGCAGTGGAGCACTCAGCCACTCACAGTACTACTGAGGCTATAGAACCCAAAAACCACACTCCTTGTCAACCCTAGATACAACAAAAATATGAGTAACACAAATACCAATCAAATGGTTACCTATTGAAACTGGTTAGATGGATCACTTTTGAGAGGTACTGCTTTCTATACAACTGAGAGTGTAACAGCCTATTTCACCACTGCCACAGCACAGCGAGCAGAGCTTCCCAATGTTGACACTCCTATTACTGATCCTCCGACAAGCTCTACCTCACGCGCCCTACCTCGAGGGATCGTAACTCACATAGGAATAAACAAAGTCATGCTGGATCAGGCATGCAAAGAGGAAGAAAATAGAGTTCGGTTCACCGACAGCACTCTCTCGACTGCCTAGAAAAAGCTGGAAACACATATGTAAGCAAGGAAGTCTCTCAGTGTAGATTTGAAAAAAGAAAGAAAAACAATTAAAAATAAAGAAAAAAAGTAAACCTACGAATATTCCCAAATAGATCATATGCTGTTTGAGAAGAGGCAGGCAGATGAACTTTGGAGTAAATCTAGGCTACATCATTCACAAGCTGTGGGGCACAACTTCCAAGAGGCTCAATTTCTGCATCCACAAAAGTAGACAGGATGAGTTAAGTAACATTAGGGGACAAATTCTACAACACGCCTAGCACAGTGTTTTCACACACTGGATAAATGGGAGCTAGTTGGTATTCACACGTAATTACTAAGTTAATTAACTGGAAGAAAACATTATTCTGTCTAGTGGGCAGAAAGTTATATCCGTTTTCTCTTTGGGTAACCACTACTTTCCTTTGTATGAGAAAATCAAAATATAGGCACCTACCTAGATATGCCCAATTTTAATAGCCTATTTTACTTTTGGTTGAATATACTTGCTAACATGTTGAAACATTACTTTTCAAATCTTAATTTACTCTGAGGTTTAAAGATATTTTCCTCCCATGTTTTCTTATCACAACGAAAATATCCCACAGACCAGCACATACAAGAGTGTACTGAAATTCTACTTTAAAGCAAGTTCCAATAGAGAATTATCAGACTTCAAAGCATTCATATGTATACTATGTAAGCATAACCCAAAACTCACTGCCATCGAGTGGGCCTCAATCCACAGTGACCCCAGAGGACATAGTACATCTGCCCCTGTGGGATTCAGCTACTGAAAATCTTACGGGAGCAGAAAGTCTCGTTTTTCCTGTGGAGGGAGGGGTGGGTCCTAACTGCTGACCTTGGGGTTAGCAGCCCAGAGCATTACCTACCACACAAGCAGGGCTCCTTATACGTATGAATATACATAAGAACATAAACAAATATGGGGTGGCTTCCAAACGTTCATGGGAAATCACCATTATCTTTTCATTCCATTTTCTCACAAACTTTACTGAAGCTTCCTCATAAAGAGATACATACACATACCTCTGACCAATTAGAAAAACCATACGATCAGATTTAATAGCCAAATGATTTAAATTTTGGTATTATCAGCTGACAACCAAATTTAAATTGATCATTCCAACTCAAACAGAAACCTAAAATACATACTCTTGGAAAAATTATTGCAACTGAATACAAATTATTGAATTTCACCAATCTTACTTCCATTCAGCACTTTGACAAAATCTCATGTGAAACAAAGTCACCACGCAGAATTGTGAATTGGGTAGTTTCAGCTAGACAGGGTGAGCAAGATGCTGCTGCAAAGACCCATGTTCTTCTACTCAAGTGTCGCTGCAAAAGCACAATGTAACAAAGTACTGAGGGAGGCAGAAACACTTACGAGTAAGTCGTCAGTTCTTCGAGGTTGTTATTCATATTGAAAGCATAGATTTCTCCTAAATGAAAAATCTTCTCCAAAGCCTCGTAGATGAATATGATGCAAATGAGAGCTGCAAAAGCCTCCTCTGTAAATCGAGTAATGTAACACACAAGGCTGCTGGCATCTGTTGCAACCAAAACAATGCACAAGAAAGAAGTCCACAGACCAATACTGGTTCGCAAAGATAGATAGGAAAGATGATAATCTCTGTTTAGAAAGAAAAATGCAGACATGATTAATATAGAATGTGCTAAAAGAATTGTGTTCATGAAAAGCTCATAATAAACAAAAGGAACAGCATAAAACCTTAAGATTCCTAAAGAGGACAGTGAATTAAAGAATGACAAAATAATGACAACAGACAGCTCAGTGTGTTTTTTCTGGCTTAATCTGGAGACTAGCCAAAACAATAACCCAGACAGGAAACATTACAGGCAGAAGCACTGGAGCAGAAGGAGCCTTTTAAGGAGCCTGAGGTGGGACACTTGGTTATTCCCAGGGCTGTGGAGAACCACACACTCACAACAGCATGGCTGCTGCCATCTTTGAACCAAGTCTCACCGTTTGACAGTGCCCGGCAAGAGATGTGACTGCTATGCAACATACAGGTTGCTCTTGTTTTAATTAAACGATCATTTTGTTGGTGGCCCTTACAACCCTTACTACAACCCACACATCGACTGTATCTGGCATATTTGTACATATGTTGCCAACAGGTTGCTCTTCTCTTTTTTAAGAGGGAGATTAAGTTTTGAGCAGGGTACTGACCCATAATTTTTCCCGTTCTATTTATCATACTGGTACAACCCCAGGTTTACAAATTCGACTCCATCCCAGTGTCACTCATTGGACATGACTGAACAGAAAAGAACAAAAAACAGTTTCAAAGCCCTATACAGATGTAAAATATATGCAGTAGAAGTCGACTTGGCAGTAAGCATTTAAAAACCCTTGGGCCTCACTCAAGAAACCGTTGATGAGGAGTAAATGGCAGGTGTCAGCCTACAAGGAAGAACAACTGGTCCTGACTGAAGGTCAGGAATCTCTGTGCCAGTGTGGCAATCCCGTCACTACCCATGCCAAAACCGTCACTACCTTCACGGCCCAATTTCCTCCACCAACACTGTAATCAAAGAAAGGCAGGGGCTTTTCTATTTTGTTTTTTAATTTCACATGAGAATTTACTGCCACGGAGCTTAAAACACTTCGGGTCACTGCATGCTCTCTCTGTAAATAGATGCAGTATGCCAGATTAGAACCAAAAATTTTTTTTTTTTTTAAATATGGAACGCTTCACGAATTTGAACCAAAATTTACTGGCTTAATGAGCAAAGAATCAGAAGTGCCAATCAAAGGCTTTATGAAAAACATCATGCAATTTGGGGCTAAATTACTCAACTACATTTATCTCACAAATGCTGAATTGTGTCCTATTCAAAGTCAACTAGCTATAATAATTGTATTCATCTCCATGCCAGTGGAAATCCACACCTCAGTCTGAGTGCTACAATATTGCTTTTGAGTTAAACAAAGCCTGATTAGTACAGGCAACATGGGCCTTCACGATCTACCTTTTCCTAAGCTTCTCTTACGATACTACCGTACTTACCACCTAATAAACATCTGGATGAACTCCTTGTTGCTAGGTGAAATTTGCTAGCATAAAACATTTTTATTGCTCCTCAAGTGCTCTGCATAGCAAATGCTCAAACCTGTTGATGTCATGCTCCCGGACAATCTTATAATCCGCCAATCCAAGTTACTGGAGTTGATACACTGTTAGAGGGTCCAGAGCAGGCTGGCCATACAGTAGTGGCAAAGTACCCAAAATACACATACTGATCAGACTGTTTCCCGGCTTAAACATGCAACATAATGTTAACTGAAGTTATGTGTGGCATACAATCGTGTGCACATGCTAATAATACGCAAACATATAATAACATGCAAATAACACATAACTAATACTTACTTGCAGAATTTAAATAAAATTTTTTCAAATACTAGAACTGGACCTGTGCTCCCCAATATTGTAAGAGGTTGCCCAGCAAGCAATGAGTAGGCAATCCCAGTTAACGATGCTCCGAAAAGAGACTCTATTGCACTCTGTTTAAGGAAAAAGATACGAATAAGAGCAACACATCATAAATATATCTGTAGCCTACAAGTACAATTTCTGGAAAATCAAAATTATGAATCATAAATAGCTAAAAATGCTAAGCAAACACAACTTTTGAGTCCTTAAACTTTAGATAAACCCAAATCACATATACATTCTACTAAATGGGGAAAATCACTTTCATTTTGCACATTAAAATAGAAAATTTCACAATTAATCTTAATATCCAAACCTAATACTATAGGGAGAAAGCAGGAGTAAATGAAGGAGAAACATAGAGGCTTCAACATTTATCCACAGATGTTTTGTTACTTATGACTATTCCGGTGCATCTATTATTTTAAATAATTTTAATATGCTTTATGTAATCCATTTAAAAAAAAACTATCATTGTGTATGATGTGCTATAAAAGAGAATCCATTAAAAAGCAAATAAAAATTTAACACACAATCCCCTTTCCCAATTTGATATCTAAAGATCCATTTCCCACACATTTTAAAGGAATTATTTAATATGACAGGCTCGATAAGTTGAGAACAAAACTGAAATGCTTAATACATATCAAATAAATCAGTGGTTCTCAACCTTCCTCATGCCGCGACCCTTTCATAGAGTTCCTCATGTTATGGTGACTCCCCCAACCACAAATTTATTCTCGTTGCTACTTCACAACTGTAATTTTGCGACTGCTTTGAATCAGGCGACCCCCTGTGAAAGGGACGTTTGACCACCAAAGGGTTGCGGCAACCCACACGTTGAGAACCGCTGAAATAGATTAAAATACCTCTTTTAAATAAAATACCTCTTCATAACAACGTGTCCCTGAAGTTCGGTAAAGAAGGTACAAGGACAAATAAAAGGAAAGTGTCAGGGAAGCTGTGCACAACCACCAAGGGGACATTCTAACTGGTTGTGGAGCAGATGGTAAGGGGTGGTGCTTGGCTATGCCACTGAACAGAGGAAGGAGTCAGAAAGAAAAGGGAGCATGCACTCACACACACTGCAGCCACGGGCAAGGACTTCCAAGAAAGGACGAAGCCCACCATCAGTTGGAGAAGACAGGCTGTGAGTTATACGCACCCAGTCACGGGAGGAGAGGTGGTGCAGCAGCATGCTGAGAGCAGGGCTGCTCCCAGGACTGGCTACCCAGCCGCGGCCAGCTCTAAAGCCGTCCAAGCCCAAGCTTTTTCACTTTTAAACAAGGCTGATATAAACCAGAAGAACAACGTAAGGAAGTGGTGTTTGGGTAAACACAGAGCATGGTACATGGAATGTACACAATAAAAAGTAGCAGTTTTCATCATCAGCTAGAGCAGCATTTTCAAAACGAAAATTTTCCGTCATCATCAACAGCCGAAAGTTTGTCCTTGAATATCATGCTAAACCCTTATAAAATTCTTAGTTCAATCAGGGCTTTGGATCAAAGGGGAGAAAGTCTAAATGTTACCGAGAAACAGACAGAAAATAATAGAGAAAGTAAGCGAACAGCAAAATAAAGAAATGCTATCAGTAGACAGTTGGCACAAAAGTAGGGTTCCTCTTTGCACCCGCTTGGGTTGAGAAAGAAGAAACGGACCCATGAAAACCTTCCACTCCCCGCCCCAACTGTCACATTGACTAGGAACAAGACTTGCTTTTACCCAGACCTGGTTGGGATTTTTTGTTTGGAGATGGGAGGATGGCAAATAACTTCTAAACTGTTTTCTGTTCTTTCCCAAATTGTGTTTTCTCTTTTCCTAAAGAAATCACTGTCTTCGCCACCTCCCCACATCCTGAAGTTTCTACTGTAACTTCACAAGCCTGTCACTTGCCTTTCATTCCTCCCCACAGATAAACACACCTCTCCACTGTTCCGTTTCTGTAAGATCACATCATTCTGATTCCTCTTCCAGGGCTCCTCTGCTGGGTCATTTCACACCTCGATCCCATCCCTCTCCCATTCCACAAATTTGGGAAGCTTCCCTCTTTACCCTCTGCTTCTCTCCCTCCAAATTATCTCCCTTGCTAGGCTCCTTTTATCCTCCGCCTCAAGCTTCTCATGTAACAACTCCTCCTCTGTGTAGCTCCTCTTCTTATCTCCGTGCTGTGAGCTGGTTCTGGCTCACAATGGCCCAGCGTAGAACAGAACGAAATACTTCCCGGGCCTGTCTGTAAACTCTTTGAATGCACCTCTGCATGTCTCCATTTCTACGTGAGGTTCCAAAACAGCATCGGTAACCAAGTCACTCCTGATCACCGTCCTCCATGAGACTCTTGGTTCCTCTCTCATTTCAATGCCTACTGCCCCCATACGGCACAGCATACCCTGCCACACTAGCAGTTGATGTGACAATCTTGTCTTCAGCATTTAAGTCAGGACCCTTGAGAGCTGGAGACACAAGCTCACCTACACTTGCCCCCTCATCTCTCTGCGTCTAACACAGTATCACGTGAGCACAGTATAAAATAGCAGGGAGAGGTCGGCAGGCAGGGAGTGACAATCCAACAGCAAAGCAGAAGTGTTTCCAGTAGGGCAACAGATAAAAGGCACATGTCTACAGGGACCAGCAGAGGTACGTGTGCAATTTATGACTGCACATTAAGTAACTTACTGAAAATAGGCGTGTTTTCATACAATGATTGAAGAATAAGGCAAAGAAAGATCTACTAAATGTCTGAAAATGTTGTAATAAATCTAAGTAAGTAAACCAAGGGTTGAAAGAAAACTTAAGTTGTTGAGATTCTCATGTTAGGGTCACAAACTACTGTATCCTTCCTAAGCGTTTAACATCTTATCCATAAAAATAAATATCATGAAATTAAAAAAATAGTTTAAGAAAAACAGGTCATCTCATTTAAATGCCAATAAAATGTACGGACACAAAACCATGCCTTTCAAAGTTACAGAGCACCGCACTTAGCTCGTTCAGTTATCATGCCTCCCACCATTCCTAACAGTATTAGCAACAACAACAACAGCAAAGAACTTTCAGTCATGTCAAGGATGAAGCTTTCCATGATATTTCCCACATAGAAGCTTTGGCAACTTTCACATAGATTTATTAACAGCAAAATTAAAATAAACACCACTTCCAAAAGCTCCATCATTTCCTCGCTCGTGTTCTCTTCCCCCACATAGTCTAGGCCAGGCCTATCAGCCAGGGCTGAGAAATTAATATTAGTCAGATGGCGCTAACTAATCCTAGGTGCCTTATACAATGAAGCAGATAAATTTGATAAATCCTCCCACCCAAGACCCACCCAGAAATCACTGTGATTGTTCTCCCCCCGCTTCTCCCCCCAACAAACACAACACAAGCTTTTTACTTAAAATTATAAAACCACACCAGGATAAACATTTCCCCCCTTTTTACCTCAACTGTGCATCTTCTCCTGTTCAAATGGCTTCCCCATGTTTTCCATAGCAATTACCTTTGGGGGAAGTCTGCTTGGGGGCGGGGTAATCATGCTGTTGGGAGACAAATGCATACAGACACTTGCCTCTGAAGAGCTACGAGCCTGGCTCCTACCAATCTTGGTACTCACTATTCTGCCTTGTGTGGCTTCTCCAAGCAGCCCTCCAAAAGTGATTACAGGAGACATACAGGCACAGTATAGGAAAAGAACCGAGGCCAGGCACTGCAGACTTAACGCATCCTTGAAGTCACTCAAGAAAAAGGGTGCTTTCCTTTTGATGTCAAGTATCAAACCACCAAAAAGCCTAAATAAGTGAGATGAAACTCGTCAAACTGTACACTAGCGGATTCTAGCGCGTTCACACTAAAGCTATGGGCTACATAAGACGGCTGATACCGAGTGCTTTTTGTCAACAAGAAGTAAAAATCCAATTTAAATTACAGTAAAAATTGTACACAAACAAAACATTGCCTTTCAAGAATTAACAGAGAACCATTTAATCTAATCCACTGATGATAAAGCGAAGGTAAGTCTCATTACGTTAAATGAGGCATAAACAACTATTTATGAACTATTTACTGAACATACTACAGGCAAATGACTTCATGAGTAAGTAATTTTGACAACGAAGGGCAAGGAAAGATACAATTTTTTTAAATACAACATCCCATTCGTGAAAATGTGCATAATAAATTCTATTAACTATCATCTACATTATAAATCATAACAGCAAGTATAAGAAATATGGGGCATCAATTTTAACAAACCTTATATACCCAAATATTCTTTAGTGTGAACATAAAATGCTGTGCTTAAACCACTTATACTAAATGACAGTCTTCAATAACTCTTGGAATCGGTACTTTCCACCATACAAGTAAATATTAAAAACCCATTTTAGTAAATTTAATGTACTGTACATATAATCAAAATGCATATACAAATAACATCCCAGTTATTTTTTATCATTAAAAAAAAACCATTTAACTAGAAACATTTCAACTAAAATGAAAGCTCTGTGAGGAGCAAACATTTTTTGCTCCCTGCCATATTTCTAAGGTCTAAAACTCTAGAACATTACCTAGGACATAGTAGGCAACTCAACAAAAATAATCACTAAATTAAAATTTTCAGTGTTTTGTGACTCATCATATACATGTTGTTTATTACATATTATTTTATATATTATATATAAAACTAGATGAGAAAAAATGCATCTTAAGTTCTCAAATGCTTTGGATTTTTCCATTCTAGGCCCCCACCCCCACCCCCCACCCCCGCTTAGATTAATATTGAAATAAATTCTAAACATGCATGACAGGGTGAGGAAATAATCCTGTAACTAAATATATCAACAAAGCTTGCAATAAAACAAGGGACCACTGGTAATCTGGAAAGCACGTCTACATCATCAAATTAAGAACTGATTATTTCACTAATACTTATGTGAAGCTCTGGAGTGACAATGGCAATGGGGGAGGAGGGCACACCTGCCTAGGTATTTCTCAGGGACTAAAACTATCTCAGTCTAGGAGCTCCTCAACCAGAACTTGGCAAAGTGTGAGGAAGGAATTTTGGCACTGAGATATTCAGAGACACTTAATGAATTATGAGTTGACGTTTCTCTGTAGCCTATGTTCAGTTGTTATTTTTCCTGTACTAGAACCCTTAGGCACTGAATTCCCTGAATAACATGTCGATATAAGATATTCTGATTTAAGAGTAAACATGATAGAGTGAAACTCAAGATCCTGAGTTCCACTGAAACCAACAGGGGACCCAGACTACCAACATGCACATGATCTTCACCATGATGGACTTTCTGTATTATCTACCTTTAGGGATCAGTTTAAGGCCAGTGTTTGCACCTGGCAAGACTTCTATTCTTTAATCAAGAAAATTAACCTCTTAAACATTTTTCTACTCAGGTTTCCAGAGATCATGGCCATCACTTAATCATGTCTCTCCACATAATTCTGTCATGATCTAATGCTCAATTTCGAGTTTTAGGTTATGAGGGTATGGTCACTCTGAAAAATCCTTACTTATTATTTTTCTATCGTGATACTGGATATTGTAACAGGATGCTACACTTTTAAAAATCTTTTCATATAAGCAATGGAAATTACCTACATGCTATATACGCATGTATAGTATCATCTGGTCCAGTATATTCATTTAAAGATGAAACCCAGGTATACACTGGCTTTTCAAAAGCATTTAATTTTCCTTAACATAATATAACTACATAACTGTGCACAGTAAAAACATATATACTTAGAAACTGGTGGAAGATTATGCTTCACACACATGGGGGGAGGGGAGATGTGTTTTAAATATCATATCAATCCCTGCTAACTGAGTATTTGTACCCACCGTCCAGTCCTCTGTAGCTCGGGTCCAGCATGATGAGCAGCCTCCTTCGGAGCATCACCCGAAGTGGGGGCAGAGCCATTAGGAAACACAGGGATCTTTCTCTTTTCCTGCATTTCATAAAAAGACGCTTTGAAAATTCAGTTTATAAAAAGGCAGAGATAGCATTTTCAATTCGAGGAAATATGTGATTTATATTGAATATATATACCTAAATCAATTCTCCTAGGGAAAAAATTCTTCCAAAAATAAACCTCCGTTGAAGATAAATCACAAGTTAGCAAAGAAACCAAAATTTATCTCTAATAATATTTGAAATTTATTATTTTCTCATGTTCAATCATCAAAATACTCTACAACTAATGTATACACACAATTTCCTATCAGACTTGGTCATAAGAACATAAATATCCTACAAGAAAGCACCCCACCCC